AAGAGAAGACTGAGAGGGGACATGATAGCAGTTTTCAGGTATCTAAAAGGGTGTCATAAGGAGGAGGGAGAAAACTTGTTCACCTTAGCCTCTAAGGATAGAACAAGAAGCAATGGGCTTAAACTGCAGCAAGGGAGGTTTAGGTTGGACATTAGGAAAAAGTTCCTAACTGTCAGGGTGGTTAAACACTGGAATAAATTGCCTAGGGAGGTTGTGGAATCTCCATCTCTGGAGATATTTAAGAGTAGGTTAGATAAATGTCCATCAGGGATGGTCTAGACAGTATTTGGTCCTGCCATGAGGGCAGGGGACTGGACTTGATGACCTCTCGAGGTCCCTTCCAGTCCTAGAATCTATGAATAGGTCTATTGGAGTCTGTCATGCCCCAATGATTTTAAAATGGTTCTGGTAACGAATGAATAGGTAATAAAATGTAAATGTAATAAAAAATATGTGAAGTGAAATAGAGTGTGATTGCGGTTGTATGTTTGGATGGGTAATAAAAGGTTGAGGCGCCAGCCTTAGAATCATAATAAATGACACCACATCTGGAGGAAGAAAAACGACGACGCTCCGACAGGACTGTTTGGGCGAGATAACCCGATAACCCTGAGGGCACACCGGACTCCACCCCGAACCGCCCCAAGGGGACCGAAGAACAAGATAACAACAAACTGTCATTGCTGTGCTATCTGCATGATTGATTATCACTTCAAACGTGAGAACAGCATGAAAAGGCAAACCCCATAGACTTGTATGAGGATGGATCCCTATAAAGACAGACCCTAAAGTCTGAGGACTTTGGGTCTGGTTCTGCAACCAACTTTCAGGCGCATCGGATGCGCATCTGACAAGGCCCGGCTCCATCCTCGTGTCCAGGCCACCTGGCAAGTGACTTGGCACGAGCAACTTCTAGGCTGATAATTATAATAACAACCTTGCAGAACTTGTGTGTGTGTGGAATGACTGTGGGAGTGAATGGAATGTTATAGCTATAACCGATTGCTTACTCTGATTCTTTCTGTATTCACAGTAACACGGCGTATTGCCTTATCCCCTGAATAAGATCCTGCTGGTTTTAATTTTCTAAGTATAACACATTCAATCTTTTAAACCCAGCTCAGGTTGATGCCCCCAAAATGCTCAGGCTTTGATGAAAGTTTCTGAAAATGTCACTGCCCCAAATCAATTTGTTAATCATTGTACGTTTCATTTACTATAAAATTATGTGAATTCTACAAGCATCAATAGACAAGTTCCATTCAACCCCAGGTGAGGGCAGAATATACATGATCTTAAATGCATACGTCTCAGCTAGCAGCAAAACCTAACTAAAGAGAGACCCCCAATCATGCAGCAGGACCCCTGTGTCCCTGCAGAGCCCCACTGGGGTTCACCCATGCAGGTCCAGTTGCAAGGTTGCAGCCCAATTTTGCATTTTAACTGTTCGTGGTGCAGCATTTTTCTGTTCAGCAAAGCAGCTGTAGCGTATCCCTTTCAGACAAAGCAGATGCAGTTATACCATGCACCCACTTTAGCAGAGCAAAGACTATTTCACAGCTTGATGCATTTAACGGTCTGGTTCCAGCCTCAGAGAGCAGCTGGATCTGAAAGCGCAGAAGGAAAAACAAACCCAGGAAGCCTCTGTTAAACTGACAGCAATTCAGAGGCAAAACCCCAACAAAATGTCTGCTGGGGAGAACAGACTGTAATCCCTTTATTCCAAGAACAAATTGTGCCAGTTAGAACGTTCCAAACAGAGACGCCTCCCCATCCAGCAAAGCACTTCAGCATCTGCTTAGTGAAAAGTGCTCGCTCTATAAAAGTGAAATATTATTAATTTGAAGCATGTTAGGAGTTGCTCCGGTCCAGTCACAGTGTTGCCAACTCTCATGATTTTTGTCATGAGTGTCAGGATAATTATTGTTTTCCTTAAAGCCCCAGCTCCTGGAGTCAGGTGGAGATGTGATGATTTCAGCCTTCATTCTTAAAAAAAAGTAAGTTTCTAGCCCTCATGACTGTGGAGAAAGCTTCCAAATGTGACCTCAGTGCACCCTAAAGGCCCCAAAAGCAGAAGGCAAATAAAAAGAACCCCAAATCTAATATTTTATATAATCTTGAGATTTTTAAAGCCAATCTCGTGATTTTTGAACATTTGGGATTGGCAATACTGCAGTCAATTGGCCCACTCTTGTGCTTAAAAGTAAGCACATGCTAAAGTGTTTGGCCATAGCGAGGCCCTAGAGAGATTCTTCAACCAATCCCCCAGATGGGAACAGACTCAGACTCTAAGAAAGGTGCGATCAGCTCTGAGCTTTGCAGGAAGCACCCTTTGAGCAGGCTAGCCCAGGACTGACGCCAGGCTTTGGAGGTTCCAATAAGGGGCACACTACTGAATATCTCTGGGCATAGCAGCTTGCTCAGTGTTTTTATTTCATGTGGATCTTGCCAGACATTTTTTTTTGTTTGGTAATTATTTAAAACCTCAAGTCATTGTATAGTGGGAACCAAACCCAGAGACCCAAACCTGCCCCAACAAAGTCACATCGTCAGGGTGACAATGGCCTCTGTATTCCCACTCCCAGCCTCCCACCCCTGCCACTGCCCACCTCAGGCAGAGATGCTGCTCCTGGTAACGTCAATAACACACTCCATTCTGGTCAGTCATGCTGAGCACAGGGCTCCCCATTGCAGTCATTAGCATGCAGTGGATTCCAAATTCCAGTTCCTGGAGCAGCCCAGCTGGCGCCAGTTTGCACTGGGGCTCAGCACAGAGACCGTGCTGGGGGATGGGCGAAGTCGGCCGATTAGCCAGTTACAGAATGGGCTCCAGAGCACGTCTCCATGTAAGCATTGGCTGAAAGAGGGCAGCCCCCCAAACTGAGGTGTCCGGTTCCCTTAAACTGGTCTCAAGTCAGTCATAATCTGGAGCACCCCAAATGCTAAGAGAGTTTTACGGAGGAGAGTATTTCTACAGCAATAAATGAGTCAGTGAGAATTCCTCCTGGAGCTCTGACTGCAAGTTGCAGGCAATGCTGAATGGGGCCCCGAGAGTGGGGTGCTTTAGCTAAGCCGGGATGCTGAGGGTTGGGTGTTTTACTGGAGGCTGTTGGGTTTGATCAGGTGGTTTTGTTAACACATGTCAGAGGCAGCTGGAATTTCCAGGCAAGCACTTGTTTGTGTCTAACGATCAATCAAAACATTATCATTTATTTGTATTGCAGTAGTGCCCGGAGCCCTCCTCATGGCCCAGGACCTCACTGCGCCAGGCACAGTACAAACCAACAGTCCCTGCCCCACACAGCTTCCAGGATATACAACATGACGGATGCGGGGCACAAGGAACCAATGAGACAATACTGAGCAGCATGACAGCCAGAGGACACTGCACACCCGGTACCTAAACATTTTCAAGTTTAGGTCATGTCTATCTGGGACGCTACCAGCACAAGGCACGGTGTGAATAAATACATTAGAGAAGCCCTGGTTGTGGGTTGCATAGTCAAGGTGGAATAAATATAAAATAATGCTGGTAAGTCGGTGTAAAGTGCCCCCTGCCCACACGTCTCCTCTGTAGCCGCCACCACTAGATAGGTTTGTGAAATAGTGCAATCAGATTATAACATGTTAACTGGTCAATGTCAGAAGCAATTCCCTCAGAGGGGCTGTCAGAATCCTAGTTAGATGGGACCGCCAGGGTCATCTAGTGTAACCCCCAGAGAAAGGGCCTGAGTCCGCTCTGATTTGTGCTGGTTACCAGCCAGCAAGTGTGAAAAATCAGGATACTTTTTTTCGGGGGATGGGTATAGTCGCCCCTAATATCGGGCCATCTGGTCACCCCAGTTTTATGTCAGTGTAACACAATTGACTTCAGTGCCAGCTGCTGCTGAGTGACACTGGCCTCAACTGGGGAGAATTGAGCATAGGGCTGAAACTATAGGTAGGGCTCTACCAAATTCGCGGCCATGAAAAATGCTTCACGGACCATGAAATCTGGTTTGTTGTGTGCTTTTACCCTATACTACACAGATTTCACAGGGGAAACCAGCGTTTCTCAAATTGGGGATTCTGACCCAAAAGGGAGTTGCAGGGGGTCACAAGGTTATTTGGGGGGAGGGTGGGTGCGGTATTGCCACTCTTACTTCTGCTCTGCCTTCGGATCTGGGCATCTGGAGAGTGGCGGCTGTCGGCCAGGTGCCCACCTCTGAAGGCAGCGCCCTGCCAGCAGCAGCGCAGAAGTAAGGGTGGCAATACCATACCATACCATCCTTACTTCTGCGGTGCTGCTGGTGGTGGTGCTGCCATCAGAGCTGGGATCTCGGCCAGCAGCCGCCACTCTCCAGCTGCCCAGCTCTGAAGGCAGCACCGCCGCCAGCAGCAGCACAGAAGTAAGGGTAGAGGTACCACAACCCCCCCTGCAATAACCTTGTGACCCCCCCACAACTCCTTTATGGGGCAGGCCCCCTAAAATTACACCACCATGAAATTTCAGATTTAAATAGCTGAAATTATGAAATTTACTATCTTAAATTCCTATGACCATGAAATTGACCAAAATGGACCGTGAATTTGGTAGGGTCTAACTATAGGTGGCCACTCTTGGGATGAACCTGGAAACGCTAACAGCAGATTTTGTAGACTCAGAGAATCTCAGGACTGGGGGCCTCATCCAGCCCCCTGCACACAATGTCCCTTTCCGGGGCAGCCCAGATGATGGAAAATGAAAAGTTTTAAACATTCTTTAAAATGTAACGATGGAGGAAAGTTATAAAATTCCCGAGCCCCAGCAATAATGTGCAGAAATTAGCTCCAAGAAACTATGGGATTTCTTGGAAATTTTCTTCCCCTTTCCAAAGCTGCCCCCCACTCCTCCACTGTGGCCATTTTAAAATGTCTGCTTACCACAGTCTGCTTTTTGTGTGGAGGGGCACTGTCTGGCATGTGACAGAAACCCTGAAACACGCCACACGCACGCACGCCTGTATTGGGGCAAACTTTGATTTGGGCATGAAAGGGTTATTTGGGCACGAAAGGGTTATCGCCTGCTTTCCATGGCGTTCAGCTTTGCGCTGGGGACTGCCATCAGTGAAACAGAGACAGGCTGCAGGTAAGGCGGCTGCGGGTTTTTCTCCTCTTTCCAGCCCTAGCCTCTGGGGGGGCTGCAAACAGCTTGCCTGGCAGTTGTACAGATTTGGTTCTGGGGGGTGTAGGGGCCTCTACATCCGGGCTGTGCAAACGGAGGAAATATCTGCTCTGTGCTGAGAGCTGTTCCAAAGAGGCCCAGCTCCAGGGGCAGAGAGTTAACATGCAGCATTGTGCAGGCTACGCAGAGCAGAGCTCCTCCATTTTATTCCCCCACAGAGAAACTTTTCATATTTAGCTCATTTTCCTGTCCATGATTCTCACTGGGAGGTTGGTTCCTGCCCCTGCTCTTCCCTCTCTGATCTCTGGGGAGGAGTGCTGGTAAAATGGAAAGTGAGACAAATGGAGTTTAGGAAAAGAAGCGTCCCTGTTAGGGTGACCAGACAGCAAGTGTGAAAAATCGGGACGGGGGTGGGGGGTAATAGGAGCCTATATAAAAAAAAGACCCAAAAATCGGGACTGTCCCTATAAAATCAGGACATCTGGTCACCCTAGTCCCTGTAGCTGCTTTGTTCCTGATGCGGCCGGGCCCTGCAGAGAGAGTGAGCGGGGTTCTAATTGCAGGTGGGCTAAAGAGTTCAATCAGCGCAGCAGCCGTCACACACTGTAGGGCAGGGTATAGGTTCATAGAGTCCAAGGCCAGAAGGGACCATTGTGATCATCTAAGTCTGACCCCCGTATAGCCAGAGAACTGCCCCAAAGTCATTCCCAGAGCAGAGTTTTAGAAAAACATCCTACGCCCCTAGGCTCCTCCGTCTATGCCAGCAATGGCTCCGTCTGCAAGGCCTGACTTTCTCGGGGGGAGGGCCCCGACTAATCCGCAGCCCCTGCCAGCGGCTGTGCTGCTGCAGCTGGTTTATTTGTGAAGTTGCAAGTGTAGCTTTTGTCCACAAGGGGGTCTCTGTGCTCTCTGGGCAGTACAGTGCTCGTAGACAGCAGTGAGCATCAGGCGCTCTCCTTGGCCTGTGCAGTTAGGGTGACCAGATAGCAAGTATGGACAATCGGGACAGGGGGCGGGGGGCAATAGGTGCCTAAGACAAAGCCCCAAATATGGGGACTGTCCCTATAAATTCAGGACATCTGATCACCTAGGTGCAGTGTGCAATGAACACGTGGCCAGTGCCCCCCTCCCCTCGGCTGGTGCAGTGAGCACAGGGATTGCTCCCCCTCCACCTGGGGCAGTGGGTTGTTTCCGTCTGTTTTAACCACTGCAGAGAAAGGAGACTTGAGAAAGGTGGGTGAGGAAAGGCGCAAAGCAAGGGAGGGTGGAGGAGCCTAGGGGACCAGAACCCAGTGGGCAAGCTAAGGGGAAGGGATGACTGCAGAGAAGAGAAGCGGCAAGATGGACAAGAAAGCAGGGAGAGGGATACGGGCGAGACAAAGGATGAGAAGAGCGAGATGCTGCCTTGCGGAGGCTGAGAGAAAGGCCAGCAGTGGGAGGAGATGGACTCACAAGGAGGAAACAGACCAGCTCAGGAACAGAAAAAGGAGAGAGAAAGCTGGGAAGGGGAAAAAGCAAAACCCTCCCATCTAGGCTGGGGAATTGTGTTTAATTTCTCGATCCTCCGGGAGTTGAACAGAGGCTTCTCTGGCCCCAATCTTGAGATCTGGACACAGGATTGTTACGCTGGCCTCCCCCCTCCCCCAGCCATTCTCTCCGTTACATTTTCCCAGCAGTTTAACTACCAAATCCAGATTGGCCCAATACTGATGTACAATAAGGAAGTACCCAACCCTGCATGGAGTATAGCTCTTCAATCTGATTCTGACGCTAAGCCTCCCGCTGGCCTCTCCTGGGACACTCCTGCGCTACTCACGCCCCATCTCCTTTGTGTCTGTCTCCACTAGAGCAGCAGAAAGCCTGTGGCAGTCCCAGCAGGAGGCCTGGATTCCCCACCAGCTGCTGAACCTGGGAGCAAACATCCCTGTCCCGTGGGATGGGGAATGGCTGGCAGGGGCTCTGCTCAGGTAGGACTTTGTCCCTGAACTCGACTTTTTCCTGTGAACTGTAAGGACTCTGGGGAAGGAGCTGTGTTTACCGGAGCAGGGAGGGATAGTTCAGTGGTTTGAGCATTAGCTTGCTAAACGCAGGGTTGTGAGCTCAATCCTTGAGGGGGCTGTTTAGGGATCTGGGGCAAAAATCTGTCTGGGGATTGGTGGGTTGGACTAGATGACCTCCTGAGGTCCCTTCCAACCCTGATATTCTATGACTGTTTCCTTGGCCCATGTGATTTTAGAACCATTACTGCGCCCCACAGTGGAGCTGTGCAAACCAGTCCAATTCTAGTTCATCCAGAGTTGGGGGATCTCTCGGGGGGTTGGGACATGTGGTTTTGTGGCTCCTCCCCCAGAGCTTCACCTGGCACCTGGCTCAGAGAAAGCTCCTAACAACATTCTATCAGGAAACAAAAAAGGGAAGAACTGTTCCCAGGAGTTGGGAACACACACGCAGGGCAGGGCAAATGGGCAGGGGAGGAGCTGGCTAGGAAGCTGGGAAGAAACGAACTTCCTCGGGGGACAATTTTGAACCGATGCCTTATCCATCTCAATTCAAAGGATACTGCTGAGGGAGGCAGTGCATTCCGGGCTCTGAAATGCAGGTGTGCTCGGTATAGGGTTTGCCTTTGTGTTCTCTCTAGCCGTGACGGTGTTTACATTTGTGTTTCACTGGACAACACAACCCCCAGTTAGATTTCACTGCAAATAGGTGGGGTGGGGGGAAGGGACTGGTGCCGCCTTGATGGGGAGTCTCCACTGTGACAATGGCTGGGCTACTACTCAGCATCCCCTTGGAAACTGATTTCCTTCCATCAGAGCCCTGGAGTGGCAGGCGTGAGCTGATAGGGTGGGAATCACACTCCAGATGGACGGGCTGTGCTGTGTGTGTGTTACTCATGCAAGTTACTTGTTCAGGAAACGCTCTCCCTGCCCTGCCGGGACCCAGGGCTGCTGCTGTCAGGGTGTGACTGAAGTAGAGGCTGCTGATCACTATTTATTCACTGTTTCAGGCTCCAGTCACGTTTGACGATGTCGCTGTCTATTTCTCCGTGGAGGAGTGGGAGGAGCTCGCGGAATGGCAGAAGGAGCTGTACAAGGATGTGATGAGGGACAACTACGAGGCTGTGATCTCGCTGGGTAACAATGATCGTTCACCTATTTCTAGAAGCTGCATGAACTTTGAAGGGCCTGAGTTAGCTTCAGCTCAGATTTGCTCTCATGCGTTTAGGTCCATCCCCCTTTAAAATGCTTAGAAAAATTACAAACTACTGTGGTGGTTTTAATCATTCTAGCTCTGTGTTCTGTGGGCCAAACCCTATATTGTGCACTTAAGCAAAACTCCCACTGAAGGTAAACGCCACACTGGTTTGCTCTCACTCCCGCCCCCGTAGAGTGGTTGCAGGGGAATGATCCGCACTGATCCTGAGATGCTGCAGACTACTGTAGTGGAGTGGCATTGATGCAAAACCTACTTCATGAAGAGAGATTCTAGCAGAATTATAGCCACCTTCTGCCTTTCCTCAGCGGAGTAGCCAGGAGGTCAGCTGTGGAACTGAGCGGGTACACAGGAGATGATCATACTATAGCGCTTAGTCTCTAGCTCCCTCAGTTTTTACAGGGAATGTGCCCTGACCCCCACCTTCACTTGAGTTATTTGATAAACTTCCCTTCTCGAGACCCTGGGCCCCCAACACGTCCAGACAGAGCTGTCTTACGGAACTGAAAACAATAGCAACACAGGCCAGGGCATCAGATTTTCCCACAATGCTCCTGGCCAGGAGCACAGTACCAGCACAACGGTGTGTTTCACGGAGCACTGGCAGGGCAGCGCTTACAGGAAGATCCTTCCCATTTTGGGAACACAGAGATCTAGCACATCAGTAACCCGGCCGTGTTCCCCGGATATCACCGTCAGTGTGTAATCATCGTTCTCCCCACGCAGGCGGCGCTGCTGCCAAACCTGACATCATATCCCAGCTGGAGCGAGGGGAAGAGCCGTGTGTCAGCGCTCACCAGGACTCCAGGGATAGACACACCTCCGCAAGTGAGTCGGAAGCTCTCTGGGGCAGTGGGAGTGGTCATTTTCACCACCGTAGCTCCCCCTATCATCAGGGCCTCTCATTACAGGGGTCTTCACCGCTAGAGCCTTCCGTAGGCCATCAGCCTTTGTGCACAGTCAGCCCTCCCAGAAAGGAACAGCGAATTCAGAGCCCTTTCAGGTACAGAAAGTCCATCTGACACCCCAGCTGCCTCAGCAAATCAGCCCGTCCTCTGGGCTCTGTCTTCAGTCCCTTTCTAGGGCCACTCTGGAGTCTTTGCCCAGCTCCAGTACTGAGCCCTCCTGAGGTGTCTGTTCTCCTGCAGTTTCTGGCTCAGGCCCCTTCACAGGAGTCCATTTTGGGCCCCCTTCTCCCCTGCCCCCACCCTGACTGAACGCTCTCAGGTGTGCCTTAAGTTATCACCTGACACCTCTTAGTCCCACCCCCTCTGGCTGAGAAGCAACCATTTAATTATGACACAGGTGCAGTAGCTGCGACTAACTGGCTTTTAACCCGTTCTAGCCCACGCTGGGGTTTCACCCCATCACAGAAAGGGACCATCTCTGTTATGTGCTTGTACAGCTCCTTGCCCCATAACCTATGACTAGGGCTCCTGCATACAAATGGATAAATAGTATAATGTATCCAGAATGACCCCCCACCCCAATGTGCACCTACAGCTCCATGCACGAGGTTGGTATCTAGCAGATGTCCTATTTTCTTGGCAGACATCAATCATCTCTTTCCACTCTCCCTGACCTTCTGCTTTTTGTCCAGCTATTTTGTGAGCGTTCGGATGTTGAATTGAATTGGTATCTTCATCTCTCTTCTCTGGAGGGCTCACAGATACTTTGCACCAGAGAGAGAACTTCCCTGGAGGTGGCTTGATTCACAAGGGTCTCCTACTTTCCTATCCTGCACGGACCACTTTGTAAGAGAGTCTTTCATGGACCCATTTCACCTCCCACTCCCCAGCTCTCCCCTCTTTGGTTCTCAAATTAAACATTCTACAGACCAGTTTGCGAATGACTGAGCTAGAAGGTAGAAACGGCTCCTGGGGTATTTTTTACGTACTCATCCATCCGCCCCACGTGAAGGTCTCAGAATACAACAATTTCCACTTCCCCGAGATGATCAAGACTTATTCTGAATGAATCGCCCTAAGGGGCAGGGTTTCTGAGCTCCTGCTCTCTCCCAGACACACTGATGTTCCAGACTTTGGCCTTGACTTACTGCAGTTCCTAGTTGTTCACATAAAATTACGGGTGATTTTTCAAGCTATTGCTCTGTTCCTTGGGACACAACAGGTCAGATTTTCAGAAGTCCCAGCATGATTGGTGCTGGGGTGTTTTGAAAATCTGGCCATAAGTATCACAGTGGGAGCTGTTGAGTACTTTGGAATCTCTGACCCTCTTGAGGTGCTGGAATGGAACCTAAGTTCTTTTGAAATTCTGGCCTCACCAGCTAGATTTTCAGATGTGCACTTGGAGTTACTGTTGGAGCATGCTCCAACAGTATCTGCTAAGTTTAACACGGTTTTGTGCCTACACAGATCCATCATCTGCTGACACAGCTCTGAATACGGCCTTCACATCCTCACCACGCGGGCTCTCTTCTGCACCCCCATCGTCTGATCCCTCCTCCCACCAAGTGGACCTCTCTCCATCCCCTGTGCATTCCACCAGCCTGTGGATTTGGGAGGCACACCTAGGGCACACAGACCAGGGAGAGAACAGCATGGGCATTGCCAAATGCATAGAGAGGCCCAGCAGTAGGTCTCCATGTGCACTCAGTGGGGCAGTCCATGGCCAAGTGGAGAGTGAGGAGAAAGCACTGGACAGGGTGTTTTGCTCACCTCCAGCCTCACCTGGCCTACATCCACATTCTGAGCAGATCTATGTACCTGGGCAAGTCCAGACATCTGAATCTGCTTCTCACATAAATCGAGGCTCTGAGAATAACACACCTATGTTCAGAGCACAGAGAACTGAGCAGCCTGTAGCTGAGCAGAAACCTGCCTCTGCGAACAGTCTGGAGCAGGAATTGGGCAGCATCATCCAGGAGATGCGGACGGCAAGAGTCCACCTGGCTAGCATAGCTGGCTCGCTGCTGGCTTTGTCCTCGGCATTCCTGCCAGCTCCTGTGGATGGCACAGGTCATTGGAGATAATCTCGGAGCAGCAGCTGCTCATAGAAACTTCTTCTGCGTTCTCCCACTCAAAGCCGTGGGACAGAGAAACAACCGCTCCCTTCTTTATTTTCTCTAAAAGCCTGTGTTCTGTTACTAATATTTAATGTCTTTATTTTTAAAAAAATGCATAATGTATTTTTTCATTTAAAAAGGCCTGGTAACCTATTTATGCCTTAACACTTTATTTCACTGTTTACTAAACTTTATTTAAAAGGCCCTAAATGTTTAAAAAGCCGATTTTCTTCTGAAAAATGTTATTTCTAACCCTAAATTTTTTTAAATGTCTGTAAATGTGAAAACAACAAACAAAAACCCACAAGCAGTAGTAATGTGCCCAATGAAAAAAATAAAAAAAAAATCCAAAATGGCCATGATGCCAAAAGCTTACACGTTCAAAAATGAAATCGGAGTGGGCCATAAACTAAAAACGGGGCCTGGAAACTGATCAAACTGTATATGGTGATGAAAGGTGTAGAGCCCTTTACCTTTGTTCTCTTCTTGTCTTGCAAGATGGCAAATGTGGAATCAAGGCTGCCAATCTCACAATGTACAACACTCTATTTCACAGTTGTGGAAAACTAAGTACAACCACCATGATGTACTCTAAAGTAACAGTTAAACTTGGCAGTAGTCTTTATATTATTTACTCCTGGGGGAATTCTGTGATACTGTGCATGCGTATAATTAGTGAGCCATGCATATTTTTATTTTTTTGCGCAGAAAAAAAGCTTCTGCCAAAATGTTAGTGCAGTTCCACCTTTTGCCCACCAGAGGGTGCTCTGGCCATAGAACACAGCAGCAGCTCCTGGCCAGCTAGGGAAGAGAAAGAGCCTGCCTTCTTCATAGCACCTGCCAGACCAGATCAGGAAACAGGGGCTATGGGGAAACAGACAGCATAAGGCGTCTGTATGTGGGGGGGAGAAAGAGGGTCAGACGGGCTCATAAGGGCTAGTGGGGGAGGACAGACTGGGGCAGAGACTGAATGTAGTGCCCCTTCCCTGGTGCCACCCCTTCCAATATATGGTCATGTTCCCTTCTGGGGGGTCTTGGGTTGGGAAGACCACCTCTTTTGTACCTGATGGGAGGGGTAAGGAGCGGTGTTACTTTTGGCCATCGTCACTTTCTTGCTGACTCCATGTCTCTTCCTTACACCTTCCCCTCCACTCCAGCTGCTTCATTACCATAGCAACCCCTTGCTTGATTAGGTCCCCTTATCTTCTCGTTACTGAAAGGCAAGGCTAGCAGCTCCCCGGGCGGTGTGTGTGAGTGAAAGCACAAGACTGCACACATGTTCTCCTGCTTGCTTATCAAGCTTGTTTAAATTAAAAGCAAGGCCAGAAGCAAGATTATTATTGTTCAGTTTTTACCCTATTTACTTCACATTTTCCTAACAGCGGTCAGCCAGGGTTTAAAGGAATTATTACTCAGTTCTGTACTAATATGCCTAGTAAAGAAGCTATTTGTTAAAATACAGTTCCTGAATCTTTTTTGTTAGAGACATACTTGCTGACAGGTAGTTTGAAATAAATGATCAAAAAATAATTGAAACTGTTGTGATTATAGTGTGGTATTTTGACAATTAAAATATGCAGAATTTTAAAATATTATGTGTAGCATTTTTAATTTTTTGTTGCAGAATTCCTCCAGGAGTAAATTATCATTGATCAGTGTGTTAATATCAGACACTTTTACTACTTAAAAGCTCTTGTGTACATTGATGCATCAAAAACTACATTGTTTGGTGATCTCTCTGTGACGTTGGATGTTTTTCCTGCACCTCTGCTGTGAAATCTACTAAAAATTTCCATGCCAAAATCATAGCCATAGCCTTAGCCATCAGCATGCGAATGGGTTAGTCTGTGTCCACGCTGCAAAGTAGAGGAGCTCCACACTGAGCGTAAAGCAGCATCCTGGCTCTAGCCCACAACCCAGCAGTGCCAGATAACTGAGTTTGGTGGCACTCTAAACCCAGGGTGAGAGAGTTTTGTGTGGACGAGTGGGGAGTTGGGGCAACATCTGAGTAAATACCTGGGCTAACTTTGCAATGAAAACAGGCCCTTATAGACTAAGAGGACAAAGTTCAGAAGTGATGGGTGACAGGGCGTACATCACAGAGCAGGCATGCTAAGGGGTAAGTAAGGGAAATGTTTGCCATTTTTCTCTCAATCTAGCATAGCACAAGAAAGGAAAAGGAATATTCTGAAATATAAGGACATAACGAGAGAAGTCCAAGCAGAAGCCTGTAAGCATGAGGTGACCCAGGAAGAAGCTACAGAGAGCGAGCTTTTGGGTCTGGTGTTGACTAAAGAGGCTTCGGGCTATAAGCAAAGAAGCCACCCCCTCTTTTGGTTCCTCCTGCCTTTGGAGAAGCAGGACTTTGTACACATTCCTTGTAAACAAACAAAATGGAATCTGGTATTTTCTTTGATACCATCAGTTTCTATTCCCAGCTGGAACATCCCCAAGGCCCCCAGCTTTGACTAGCTGCTGGGGTTAAAAGGGGCCAACAATGTTATAGGGCTCAATGCTCCTCTCATAGAGGAAGACTAAAAAGAGGGGGTTACAGAGAATGCCCAGTAAGAAACCAATCCCAATATACAGAATGGACAGGGTCTACAGGCTCAGACTGGCTTTTTCTACAGGCAAGGAATCTTCAATTTCTAGGGAAAATTAGCTTTGTGAACTCTGCAAACCCCAAAATAGTCTGAGAGAGGTTTCCAAACCAGCCCCCACTGATTTGGGATTTCTAGTCCAACTCAGCCCTGAGCCTAGTTACAGGGTGTGACAAGGTGCAGGGGCCTTACCTGCTCCCAAGTAAACAATGGTTAACTTCGCCTCAGCTTCCCCTTCCTGCTGCCCAGGTGTTCAGAGAAGGGGCTGTAAGACTGGCTTCTTGGGAGACAGGAAGGGGGGAAAATACATTTGGGAAGGCTGGGCTCCACACCCAAGGGTCATACACAGAGTAACTCCAGACGGATCCTAGAGGAGGAGGACCTGGCTGACTGCACATGGATCTTTCTCCTGCATTGTTTGATCAGCTTACCCCAGGTGCGCCTATCTTGTGGGTTCTCCAACTTTCCTGCTGAACGAACACCAAAGGAAGCTTTCCTCAGACTGATTTCTCAGCGTTGTAGATTCCCTGGGACTGTGTAGTTAGTTGAGATCTCCAGGGACAAACGATCAGTTCCAGCACCACCAATTACAGATGAACAAAGCCTCCATGGACAAGAAAAAAGGCTATTTCATCAATACCTACAAAAAACCAAAATCCCATGTGCTCTAATGAGACACTCTGCTTCCTGATTCTAGTGAACTACTATAACCTCCTTCCACAATCTACTGCTAGAAACAGAAACTTATAGCAGAAAGTCAGTACAAAATAGCCCCAAAATAAATTACAATCCTTATCAGCACTGAACAAAACTTCAAATGCAACAGTATAAAGTATGAACTGCTGATTAGAGGTTTAAGTAATTATAATGAAATGAGAGATTGATAGAACATAGAGAAGGAAAGGCCCTAAAAGGTCACATGGTCTATACCCCTTGTAGTAGGGAGGGAGGGCCTGGAGCACTGGGCCTGGTACAAGAGTTAAGGCCTGAACTAGAGTCTGAACCAAAGTCAGGCCATGGATTAAAGCAGATGCTTATAAGCTCACTGTCCAGTACACGAACGTGGCAAAGTTGTTGCTAATATACTAGGCACTAAAGAATTACATAACTATATTCCAGCCAATCCAATGGAATAGAGAAGCTAGTTGCTCCCGTCTCCGGCCCAGCAAAGCTTACCAGATGGTAACAGCCAGCAGTAAAGGCAACCTACAACGTGAATGAATAGTACAAAATTACCTTTGAAGGGTTAAAAATGATGGATTATACCAGTTCCCCAAAGAAAATAAGCTACACCAGCAAATGGAGTCTTTCGCAGTATAAATGTCTATGCTTGTGTTTTGCCAGCACAGCTGTCTGTTAGCAGGTGATGAGGTATGATTTGGGACCAACCTGCTGGCAAAAGCCATGAGTGCAGGTGTGATTATACAGGAAAAACCGCACACTTACCAGTCTAGTTTATTTTGCTTAGGGGAGGGGCTGGAATATACTAAACTGGCACAAGTGCCATTTTGCTCATCTAAGCTGTGTCCACGCTTGCAGCGCTTTGCTAGGATAGTATATTGGTATAGCTATACTGCCAAAGTCTTCCACATGTAGACCTGGCCTGAGTATAAATTTACCCCAACACAATCAATAAAGTACCAAACCTTGTCTGCCTGAAGTGAAGAGTCAAGATCCCCTAAAAATGGGAAACTCTGAAACTGGATAGCTGTCCAGGTGCAGAGAAACACTAGACTCCCCGATTACAAGAGATGAGTTGAGGTGATTATTTAACTTATGCTTTTCAGGTCATCTTCCCTTATCTGTCCTGAGTTTAGTGGTTTAGTCTGGAAGAAGAAATGACTAACATGGGCATTAAATATGGAGATGGTATGAAATTGGTAGGCGCTACGAAGAAAGAGAAATAATTCAAAGGGACCTGCGGAAGTTAGACATACCAGGCAAAATGCTACCTGCCCATGTGGAGCCTTCGTACAAATCAAGATTTTTAAGGTTAAACCTGGAGAAATCAAGTGCTTGCTGTACAAAAATACAAACGTTTGTACTGCATAGTTCTGACTGATTGCCAATGAACTCGCTTGAGTACAAGTAATTTTACCAGGTGTCCTGGTAAATATGTATCAGAAGGGTAGCCGTGTTTGTTGCTTTTTACAGATCCAGACTAAGAGTCCTGTGGCACCTTAAAGACTAACAGACGTATTGGAGCATAAGCTTTCGTGGGTGAATACCTACTTCATCAGACGCATGTAATGGAAATTTCCAGAGGCAGGTATAAATATGCAGACAAGAATCAGTCTGGAGATAACGAGGTTAGTTCAATCAGGGAGGGTGAGGCCCTCTTCTAGCAGTTGAGGTGTGACCACCACGGGAGGAGAAACGGCTTCTGTAGTTGGCTAGCCATTCAGTGTCTTTGTTTAATCCTGAGCTGATGGTGTCAAATTTGCAAATGAACTGAAGCTCAGCAGTTTCTCTTTGAATTCAATGAGAATTCAGTTCATTTGCAAATTTGACACCATCAGCTCAGGATTAAACAAAGACTGTGAATGGCTAGCCAACTACAAAAGCCGTTTCTCCTCCCGTGGTGTTCACACCTCAACTGCTAGAAGAGGGCCTCACCCTCCCTGATTGAACTAACCTCGTTATCTCCAGACTGATTCTTGCCTGCATATTTATACCTGCCTCTGGAAATTTCCATTACATGCGTCTGACGAAGTGGGTATTCACCCACGAAAGCTTATGCTCCAATACGTCTGTTAGTCTTTAAGGTGCCACAGGACTCTTTGTTGCTGGTAAATATGGTCACCCTACTAATCTGCCACTGTGAAAGGGTCATTCTGCAGCTCTACAAGCGGATTCATTCCATTGCTCAGACCTGTGCTGTCAGCAGCAATCTGTCCCACTGCACTTCCTGGGAGTTACTGGTTTCACGCCTCAGTTCTCCTGTATGGCTGTGCATGCTTCTTTTACTCTGTAAAGGAACAGCATTCAAGACATTCCTGTTCCTCAAACTCCCGGGCTCTAGCTTGATTCCCACCCCCACCGCATCTCCCAATTCTCCCGTCCAGGCAAGTCCTACATCCAATCCCACTGCTTTGGGCCCCTGTTAGAGACCCAATTCCTCTCCTCCATGCATCCCCGCCAATTCACTCCTCCATCACCTCCCAGACTTTACTCTTTGTATCTCTCCATTTTGCTCCCTCAAGGCAGTCCAAGTTCTACCTGCAGCAGGCACCTCTTTACCCTCCCCTACTCACAGCATCTGATTCTAGCTTCAACACACCAGCCCAGAGCCAGCCTTAGAAGTGGTCCACCTGGGAGCCGTGGTCAGGGGGATGCCGTGCAGCAGTGCAGAGGTTACAAAAATTCCAGGGACAATAACAAGACTCGGCAAGCCCTGCATCTCCTGAGAGTAGCTGGAATGGATCTTTGAAAGGGAGTCCCCCACTGAACCCCAGTCTGTTCTGGACTGCAGCAAGGAACCCCTCACTGATGCCCACCAGGACCCCGAGCAGGAGGAGATTGCCCAGCCAGTCAGGATATCGCCAGTTCACCAAACCCTGAGGCAGGCACTGCAGCAGACAGGAGATTCTCATAGACTCATAGACTTAAAGGTCAGAAGGGACCATTATGGTCATCTAGTCTGACCTCCCGCATGATGCAGGCCACAAAAGCTGACCCACCCGCTTTCCCTTAACTCAGCTGTTGAAGTCTCCAGATCGTGATTTAAAGACTTCAAGTCACAGAGAATCCTCCAGCTTGCGACCCCTGCCCCATGCTGCCAGCCGGAGACCCATCCTGACACTGCTGGGAAGGGGACCTTTCCCCATAACTATTAGGGGCTATATCAAAATACAACCTTTAAACAGCTTTATTCCAGGTACCCTCAGGGCACCGCCATGGTGGGTGGTTGTGCATTAGGGAAATGCTCCAAAGCAATTTCTCTAAAATATCAAATCCTACAACCATCAGTGAAACATGTTACTCACCCCCCTTCTTATGCTGCTTCCTGCTCCTTCCCACCCACCCACGACAGGGGCCCCCCACTCGTCTCAACGGCTGCACAGCAGGCATGCTTATTGTGGCACCAGAGACAAAGTACCTGGGCTTACAGTTTGATTCATGCCCTCAACTTTTAGCTGCCTTGAGATCTGAGGAGGTACATTGCCTAAAGGAGGCTACAGAGACATGGTAAATGTGTAGCAATATTAAGGCAATCATGGCTATCTGATCCCTTGGGCTTGGAGCCATTCCTGCAAAACTCCATTGATTTCGCAGTGCACATTGTGCTGCTCTGCAGGTATCATAAAAGAGAACTGAAGGCAAAGACGTGACTATTTTTCCATGCACATTACAAGGCAATGCAGCTCACTTGGCTCTACCCTTATAGCTTGTGGTTCCCTTCCACTCCGGCACCAGCCTGACAGAGTGGTGCAGAATAGCTTCCCGGTTTGCCCATGGCTTTGTGGAACAAGACCTTGCTCTGCCCTCAGCATCATATTCGCCAAGTACGGACAGCCTGCAGCTGTGCACATGAGCTTAACCTGCCCCCAGCTGCCCCCCCCCCCACCTTCCCCAATTCCCAGTTCACCACCAACCTGGCATTTCTACAGAGGCCCTATATGAGGAGGAAAGCAAGGTGGAAAAAGATCTTACCATCTCCAAGCTTTGGTGGTCCCATGTGAATGGAATTCCAAAACGAAGGAAAAGCAACACTTTATTGTCTCAGTTCTAGTCTCCATGCCAATAATAATAGCTACTTGTGCTGTTTCTACCCCTCCCCTGGTCCTGACACATCACTGCCCACATGGACAGAAGCATTATCCGTGGCTGAACGCCAGGCAAATCTTCCGGGGGGGGGGGGAAGAAGAGAGAGAGAGAGAGAGCGCACGTGCACATGAGAAGGCATTTATGTGTTGGCATCTGTAAAGGCAGAAGAAGACTGAAGAGTGGAGGGAAGGTTTCCTTTACCATGACACCAAGGAGAGATGAGGATGGTGAGCTGTGGACAGAGCGCATTGACAAGATAATGAGGGTGATACAAAGGCAGGCAGCCCTGCTAGAGAATGAAGCGGCACTAAATTCACAGGCAACCCAACTTAGCCATTTGAGGACACTGCATACTGGGAGCATCCCTTCCCCGCCCCAACTCCAGACAATTCGCAAGTTTGATAAAATACCATTTTAATTCCAAAGATGTACTAATTTTTTTTTATCCTTAAGAACAAAAAACCCAACAGCCTGCTGGTGTACTGTCAGATCAGAAATTACCCCCTCTCCCCAAATCAGACAACCAACACAGAATATTTTCCAGGGATGTGCCCAGTCTAGTGTTAAAAGGCCCAAGCAACATGAATCTCATCACTTCTCATTGGAGACTGTTCCACAGCTGTTCTGGGATCTCATGCCTCTGCAATTACAACCCAAAATTACATTTGTTTTTCTCTTCTACAAAGGCACAAAGCTGGGAACAGAACTCAACAGTGCTGGACTCTCAGTCACAACCTCTAATTCATTAGTGATATTCTGAGCTAGACTCAGGCAAGATGACTGTACAATGACACACCCGAAAGCAAACATCTCTATACTGTTGCCTTTTATCGTCAGCGCCACTCACGCTAGCTTTCTTTGCCAGTGACTATTTGTATTTCACATCACTTTTGCCCACATGCAGCAGTTTTCATTTTTCTACCTACCCTGTTGATTTCTACCCATATGGGGTGCCTAATCCCCCAGACCCCTTTGACTTATTTCTCTTTCCTCAATGGCATTTGCAGCTCGCACCAGTTTTACACCATCTGAATAGTTAATGACCGTGTAAGTTACTCCCTCTTCCAGGCGGAACAGTCCCGATGACAGATGATTGAATACAAGACCTGAAAAGCAGAAGCTAAATCAGCTCTGATCAATTCTTGTGACCGGGGGGGAGGGGGGGAGGAAGGAGCACGAGGGGGGAGGGGGGAGAGGGAGTCTATTCTTTCTCTGCACATGGACAGGTATCAAGTTGCAGTCTCTTGCTCATTTTTAGGGGAGCTTAACTATTCACTTCAGGCAATCAACGCTTTGTTACTTACTGTGTTGGAGTCCTACACTTGTAAGGCTTTGCCAATATAGCTATACCAATGTATTATACCAATATACAATACCCGCATACTGCTGCTAACATGGACTCAGGTGATGCTGGCAAAATAGCATTTTGCTGGTATAGTTTATTACAGTGTCCGTCCTCATCCCCGCACAAACAAAATAAATTCTACTGGTAAAAGTGCAAATTTTGGCAACGTAACTGTGCCTACACTAGGGGCACATTGTTCACTCACACATCACACCTCATCACACCCTTAATAGACATAACTGCTGGCAAACTCTGTAGTGTAAGCATAGTTATATCAGCAAATGAGTCCATTTGCCAGGATGGTATATTGTTGGGGAAACTGGTATAATTTATACCAGCAAAACTCTTGCCAGTATAAGAAGGTCAAGGCAAGTTTCCTAGAGACCTTAATTCAGTTTGATACAGTGAAGTTGAACAACAACATGGCACTTCTGACTGAAGGTTCTCTCACCCATGGAATATTTATAGGATTTTCCTTCTGTGTGAATACTCTTATTGTCAAGAGCGTGGAGTTCATATGGAAGCATCTCTTACGGGTTCTCCCTGGTGTGAGTTCTCTGGTGTTTAATAAGGTTGGAGCTCCGATTGAAGGTTTTCTCACAATCACTACATCTAAAAGGTCTCTCTCCCGTGTGGATTTTCTGATGCTGAAGGAGATGTGAGCTCTGAATGAAGCTTTTCTCACACACTGGACATTTATAAGGTCGTTCTCTAGTGTGAGTTCTCTGATGCTGAATTAGATGTGAGCTGTAAACGAAGCCTTTGTCACAGTCAGCACACTTGTAAGGTTTCTCTGCTGCGTGGGTTTTCTGATGGAGCATAAGCTGCGAACTGCGACTGAAACTCTTCTCACAGCTAGGGCATGTGTAAGGTCTTTCCACATGGTGGGTTCTCTTGTGCTGAAGAAGGCGGGAGTTGCTAGTGAAGGTTTCCTCACACTGGCTGCATTTATAGCTCTGGTCTCCCACGTGGATTAATTTGTGTTTATTTAGCACTGAGCTTCGGCTGAAACTTTTCTCGCACTCAGGACATTTAAAGGGTTTTTCTTGCGTGTGGACTCTCTGGTGCTGAATGAGATGGGAGCTCTGGTGGAAACTTTTCTCACAGTCCAGGCATTTGTAGGGTTTCTCTCCCCTGTGCGCTCTCTGATGGAGCATCAGGTGCGAGCTCTGAATGAAGCTTTTGTCACAGTCGGGACACTTATAGGGTCTCTCCCCCGTGTGGATTCTCTGATGCTTAATAAGATTTGAACTCTTGTTGAAGCTTTTGTCGCATTCGGAGCATTTATAGGGCTTCTTTCCTCTGTGGCTCTTCTGATGTTTATGAAGGTCCGAGACAAGACCAAACCACTCCTCACAGCCATCGCACTTGTAGAGTTCCTCTCCTGCGTGCATTCTCTGATGCAGAATGAAATGAGACCTGATCAAAAAGGTTTCCTCACATTCCCCGCATGTATAGGGTTTCTGTTCTGTGTGGACTCTCTGATGTTTAATAAGATTTGCACTCTGTACAAAACACTTTGCACAGGTAGGGCATTTATAGGGTCTCTCTCCTGTGTGGAGTCTCCGATGCTTTATAAGAGTCGAGCTCCAGCTGAAGCTTTTCTCACAGTCGGGGCATTTATAAGGTTTCTCACCTGTATGGACTCTCTGGTGTTTAATAACTGATGAGATCCAGCTAAAACTTTTCTCACACTGGGGGCACTTGTGGGGTTTCACTCCATTGTGAACATTTTGATGCTGAATAAGCCGTGTGCTCCGAATGAACCTTTTCCCACACTTGTCACATTTGTAGGGTTTCTCTTGAGTATGCGTTCGCTGATGATCAATCAGCTCTGATCTCTGTCGGAAGCTTTTCTCACACTCGGTACATTTATAGGGTCTCTCCCCCGTGTGGATTCTCTGGTGCTGAAGAAGATGTGAGCGGCGAGTGAAGCTTTTGTCACACTCAGTACATTTATGGGGTCTCTCTCCTGTGCGAATAGGAATGTTTTGGCATTTGCTGAAAGGTCTTTCATTTGGAGTGGATTTCTCCACGCTCTCATCCCCTATGTTCCTGTGTTGGCCGGCTGGCCCACGTTCACCCTCACACGTATTTCCCTCAGAGCTATTTGCTTTCTCTCTCTGTGATAAATTCCTGTGCTCTGCCAAACCCTCAGAATTTCCCTGCTGATGATTCTCTTCAGTCTTCCACTTGATTCCATCATCTGCTGGAATAAATGGAGAATCCAGATGTTACTTCAACACACAAAAGACATTGGACTTGTGAATGTAAAGCATATAATGTTGGCATTCTGACTACAGGCTCTATTGGAAGGAATATTTTCAGCTTTTCTATCTCCCTTCAGGAGTGTTGTATGTACAGGAGGTAACTGTTCCACTGTACTCAGCACTGTGGCCTCAGATAGAGTACTGTGTCCAGTTTTGGGTGCCACACTTGAAGAAAGATGTGGACAAATTGGAGACCGTCCAGAGAAGAGCAACAAAAATGATAATAGGCTTAGAAAACCACATTTATGCAGAAAGGTTTATAACAACTGGGCACATTTAGTCTGGAGAAAAGATGACTGAAGGGGGACCCCATAACAGTCATTAAGTACGTGAAGGGCTGTTAGAAAGACGATGGTGATCAATTGTTCTCTATGTCCACAGAAGGAAGGACAAGAAGCTTAATCTGAAGCAACAGAGATTTAGGTTAGATATTATGGAAAACTGTCAAACTCCAAGGATAGTTAAGCACTGGAACAGGTTAACTGACAAAGCCCTGGCTGGGATAATTTAGTTGGGGTCGGTCCTGCTTTGAGCAGAGGGTTGGACTAGATGACCTCCTGAGGTCTCTTCCAACCCTAATCTTCTATGATTCTATGAACTAAGGAGGTTGTGGAATCGGTCTCATTGCAGGTTTTTCAGAACAGGTCAAACACTTGTCAGGGTTGGTTTAGGTTTCCTAGGACTGGGTCCTGTCTCAGTGCAGGCAGATGAACTAAATGAGCCTCTGAAGGTCCCTTCCAGCTCTACATTTCTGATTCAGAAGCTCCCTCTCCACCTCCTGGCTTAGCTAATGTCTCAAAGCTCTACAGAGAGGCAAGACAATGATATCCACTATGTCCTGCCATCCCACCTGACCACTCAGAAGTCCGAAGGGGGAGGCTACAGTCCAAAGCCAGTCAAGATAGGTAGGAATCCATGACAGACGCCTGCCAAAAAGATGTAATAACAGCTGGCTACTAAGCTGACTGGAGGGGACAAAAGCTGTTTCAATAGAAGCTCATGAAATGTGGGCTTCTTTCTCAGCTCATTACCTCACTCAACGTTTCTGAAGAGTTCATTAGTTATTACTTACCAAAGGAGACCCCTTTAGAAAGGTCTCTTTCCCTCGAATCCTGGTGAGCCCGGACACATGGCTCTTCCCCATGTTCAGTCAGGGATGCAACGTCTGGTTTGGTGACAGCACGCCTGTTAGTGGGGGGGAAAAAAAAAAAAAAAAAAAAGAATCACGCGATGTTTTCTGTTACTTGGCAAGCACAGAGTTTTTGGTATTTTGTAAAAAGTCTCATTCAGCATTACTGCTTCCCACGATTGTCCTTCCAATGGAGCATTTCAACCTGTCCCCAAATATATTAGCTGCCATATTGTTTGCAGTTTTGTTATTTTGCAACTTTCCCTATTGTTTTCCTGTCCTCATTGGCGTTTGCAGTTCTTCCCAGTTTAGCATCACCTCCTAAATCCATTGGCATGCTGCTTACCTCCCCATCCAGCGCAATGATGACCATTTTAACTGCTGGACAAATGCTGCTGTAACCTTCTCCCAACCCAGAACATGGCTATTTGTTGTTAATTCTAGTTTGATCTTTGGACTGTTCTATATCCAAGAAATTGTTCTCCTAACCCACCCAAATTTTGGGAGTAAGGTTTTGCGAGATACTATATCAAATGCTGTACTAAAATACCAGTATCAGTCTCTTTAATGGGTCTCTTCCGTCATATGATTCCCAGATTTTAAGGCCAGAAGATACCACTGTGATCATCTAATCTGGCCTCCTGCATAACACAGGCTATAGTCTAGGAGAGAAAGGCCCCAAAAATGAATACAGCATTATTTAAGGTGAAGATGCACCATAGATAACTTTGTAATGTTTTCTGTCTGTCACAGTACAGCCTAATATCTTAATTTCTTACTCAGTAACCACTGCACACTGAGCAAACATCTTCATTGATGTGTCCACAATGACACCTTGATCTCTGTCCTAAGAGGTTACAAGGAACTGGGATTGAGATTCAATGTATTTCTGCAGGAGTCTCATAAAAGACAAACACCACATAATTTTACAGAACTTTTTGGCCATAAACGAGTTAGATGAGAGACAGGCAATTTCCTGGCTGATTGTGTGGATGCTGAATTGCAGAAAATTGAAATTGCTTCTATTAGAATATTGACTCTCTTTCCACGTGGAACATCCCTTATTTGCACCGATGCATCATGCGCAATGACCCAGCAACTCATTTCTGCTTGTGGGCTAGACAGAGATGGAGAAGTACAGCCATTGTCCTAAACCAGAAAATATTGTAAAGAGAGGGATTAGTGCTACCTTCTGTATTTTGAGTCTCCATTGACTGGAGCAGATTTTTTTCCCCCCACAAAGGAATGCAAGTGCAAACGTGAGAAAAACCCTGATCTGAAGATCACTCAGGCCCCTTACAGCTCATGCCACTTCTACAAACTAGTGAACACAGTAACTCCATGCTTAACGTTGTAGTTCTGTTCCTGAAAAATGCTACTTTAAGCAAAACAATGTTAAGCAAATCCAATTTTCCCATAAGAATTAAGGTAAATGGGAGGAGGGGTTAGGTTCCAGAGAAATTTTTTTCGCCAGACAAAAGACATTGTGTATATACGTGTGTATACATATACACACACACACACACACACACACACACACAGTAGAAGTTTTAAACAAAAAATTTAATACTGTACACAGCAATGATGATTGTGAAGCTTGGTTGAGGTGGTGGAGTCAGAGGGTGGGATATTTCCCAGGGAATGCCTTGCTACTAAATGATGAACTAGCACTCAGCTGAGCCCTCAAGGGTTAACACATTGTTGTTAATGTAGCCTCACACTCTACAAGGCAGCAGGAATGGAGGGAGGGGAGACAGCATGGCAGAGAGAGACAGATACACACTGTGTGAGAGAGAGGCGCATTGCCCCTTTAAGTACACTGACCCCACTCTAAGTACATTGCCTTTTTAAGCAGATTAGCAAGTTGAGACAGCAGCTGCTGCCAGCAAGCTCCTTCTGTTCTAAGCCCTGTTGTGTCCCTCCCTCCCTGCCCCCCCCCCCCCCGCTCTGTGGAGATAAGGTACAGAAGCGGGGGGGGGGCAGGAGCAAGAAGGGGACACCCTGACATTAGAACCTCTCTTCCTCCCACCTCTGCACAGCAAGCAGGAGGCTCCCGGGAGCAGCACACGGCAGTGGGGGGAGGGACAGCTGAACTGCCCGGCAGTTGATAGCCTGCTGGGTGGCTGCCGCACAGGGAATTTAGGGGAGCTGATAAGGGGGCTGCCAGTCCACCCTGGATCTAAGCCCCCACCAGCTGGCTCCAATGGGCTGCTCTTTGTGCAAGCAGTGGACAAAGCAGGCGGCTGCCAAACAACATTATAAGGGAGCACTGCGCAACTTTAAATGAGCATGTTCTCTAATTGATCAGCAATGTAACAACGAAACAACGTTCACCGGGACGACTTGAGGAGTTACTGTAATAATTTTTACCCAGTGAGATCAAAGTCTTGTAGTTGTCCCTCATCTCGTCCTTCTACAGCTCCTTCTGCCATCCTGCTAGCTCCTCCCACTCCTCCTCAGGAGAGCTAGACAGCGATGTCAACCATAGCCTGAAATGACAAATGAAACACGCTCTGGATCCAGACTCCTGGGGGAGAGACACAGGCAGTCCTTGGCACGGAGAGGTGTGAAATGAGGGAGGATGCGACTCCAGCTTGGGAATGCACAGAAAGCTTGTTATTACATACTGACTTCCATGTTCTTCCCGTAGCTAAGGAGGAAGTGCAGCCGGTATCTGAGGCCTACAACAGTCTTAGTTCTTGTTAGTACTATGAGAGATGAACAGTCTGAGGTGCTGATCAGCCCCCAACTGATCAGCTAGTAGAAAGGCTTGAAGTTTAAAAGAAAATATTTATAAATATTTTTACAAATACAAGGACCAATTTCCATCCATTTTGATTTACGGCCTCTTGTTATTTATTCTCAAGGATTCAGGCATTTTCTGGGGATTCATCAAGTTCGCCAAATCCCAAAATCACCATACATTTTTAAGCACTAATGATCTTCATTTGAAAATCTATCCTTATAAAGTGGAAACAACAAGGAGTCCTTGTGGCACCTTAGAGACTAACAAATTTATTTGAGCATAAGCTTTCATGGGATATAACCCACTTCATCAGATCCATGGAGTGGAAAATACAGTAAGCAGGTACATGAAAAGATGGGAGTTGCCATACCAAGTGTGGGGGAGGCAGTGCTAACGAGGCCAATTCAATCAAAGTGGATGTGGCTCATTCCCAGCAGTTGACAAGAAGGTGTGACTATCAACATAGGGAAAATTATTTTTTGTAGTGACCCAGGGTTATTCCCAGTTCTCTTCCTGTTTAAAATGTTTGTGATCCACTCAAGGATCAAAAGCAAAGACATGTAACTTAGGCGACCAGCCACCATGCAAATAATGAAGAGTGATCCATTGATGAGAACAACCCCATGAATGAAAATCAATTGCCCAAAAGATGCAGCAAACATCAGGAGCAGTTCACAAATGAGTCATTCCCCAAAGTAGTAAATGTGCAACATAAGTTAATCATAATAAATCCTTCCAACAGCAAGCATTGTCAGCTACTTACTTGGTACGTACTTGATAAACTTTGACCAGGTCTTTCATTAAAATCTTTTTGGTAAAAAATGGGGTTGTCAAAGAAACTGCACTCTTTCTCCCACCCAATCAAACATGTCTTTGGAGGTGAAGTTTTAGTTTTCAGAAACACTTTCGAAACAAATAAGTTGAGGGAGAGGTTATTTTTTGGTATGTCTGAAATTATTTATTTAAAAATGGTGGGGAAATGCCCTCTCTATTTTTTCCTCCCATCACCCTCCTCCCCCATTCTTCTCATTAGAGAAGTGTGAGGGGAAAAAATTTTTTACATTCAAAAGTAACCTTTTTCCTTTGAAAAAGCAAACCTGGATTGTGTCTCTTGCTCACATATTCAGGGTCACACTGCTCACCAGATTTGGGGTTGAGAAGGAATTTTCCTCCAGCTCAGAATGGTGAGAACCCCTAGGGTCTTTTCTGCCTTCCTCTGTAGCATGGGGCATGGATCACCTGCTGTGATTTCCTGTGCACATCTCATCTAATCATTCCCTGACATCACAGGGACCTTGGCCTCACCTGTTCTCTTTTTCTCAGAGCCAAAATATTTTGGTCTGACTAAAGTCTTTGGGCTTAATACAGTTAGTGAGATGTAATGGCTTGTGATATGCAGGAGGTCAGACTAAAAGATCTGATGGTCCTTTCTAGATGTAAATGCTACAAAACCTTTTCCCCCCCAAATGAGAAAAAAGTGTTTTCCCCTCATTTTCTGTTATGTTTAAATTTCTTACCCCTTTTCCGTACTTTTTAAATAAAAAAAAAACTGTGGGGGAGGGGAGTTTAAAAAGAAAGTGAAGGATTTCCCCCACCAAAATGAAAATAATTTTTTTCACTGAAAAACACATTTTTGCATTGCACACGCAAACTTTGTTTTAACTTTTTTTTCACAGAACATGAGTTTTGACTAGCTCGAATACTTAGTTACTAACAGCATCTGCAAGATACAAATCAGAGCTCTTCATTGTCACTCAGATCAGACTAGGAAATCCCCAGGAAAAGTTCCTCCCAGGTGCAGCATGGAGAGTTAGACAGTAACACTGCAATTAAGCAATGTTTTAAATACAGCTGGTTTGAAACAGGTTACACAGTTCAGGAGAGACACAGGTTACACTAGAATCCATCACTTTATCCTCTGTCCACAAGCAAAACAGTCCAAGAACTTCATTGTCAAAGCTCTACTTGGGCAGAGGTGTCTCTGGCCATTCCCCTTTGAATCAGGCAGTGTATGTTTTGCAGCTGTAGTTTGGAAGCCAGTGGGTCATCTGGGGCAGGTTTCACACAGGGACACTGCCAACTGAAAACAATATTGGCTTAACTACAGACTTGCTTAGTTAGTTTTGATCTCGGCAACAGAACAGGAACTTCAAACAAAATTCTTGCTTCTCCCTGAGAGGCTCATTTGGCAGTTCTGCAAACCAATTATTCATTCGCTCAGATCTGTACTGTCAATGGCAATTTGTCCCTCACACCCCAGGAGTTGCTGGTAGAGTGCCCCAGGCACTCTTCCTTACACTCCTTAAAGGAACAGCATTTCCTGCATCTCAGACCCCCAGGCTCCAGCCTGCTTCCCAGCCCACAGCATCTTCCAATTCTCCCCTCCATGTGACTCCTAAATCCAATCCCTCTGCTTCAGGCCCCTGTTAGAGACCCAATTCCCTTCCCCCCCCATGTATCCCCCCCAATTCACTCCTCCATCCTCCACTCTTTGTATCTTTCCATTTTGCTCCCCCACCTTCCCTACCAATCATAGCTGCTCATTCCATCCTCACTGCCAATCTGCTTCCCAGTCACCTTGGCTCCCACCCCCTTCCTCACACCTATTGCTCCACCTGGGTAAACTGGAGCATTTCTCAGGCTAGGTCTACACTACTAACCTGAATCGGCGGGTAGAAATCGACCTCTCGGGGATCGATTTATCGCGTCCCGTCAGGACACGACAATCGACGCTCTTACTCCACCAGCGAAGGTGGATTTTGCCGCCGTCCTCACAGCGGGGTAAGTCGGCTGCGATACGTCGAATTCAGCTACGCTATTCGCGTAGCTGAATTTGCGTATCTTAAATCGACCCCCCCCTGTAGTGAAGACATAGCCTCAGAGCTTGTCTCCACTACCTGCTGGATCGGCGGGCAGCGATCGATCCTAGAGGCAATAAATCGACTGCTGGGCGCTCTCCCGTCGACTCCGGTACTCCACCAGAACGAGAAGCGCAAGCGGAGTCGACGGGAGAGCGTCAGCGGTCAACTTACTGCAGTGAAGAGACTGCGGCGGGTGGATCGAAGTACGTCAACTTCAGCTCCGCTATTCACGTAGCTGAAGTTGCGCATCTTAAATCGACCCCGCACCGTAGTGGAGACAAGCCCTCAGACGTACCACTTCGTGTCCCAGGGCTCTCCCAGACTTCCAGCCTCCCAACTGAAACCCACTGGTGCTCCCCACTGGCAACCAACCTTCTCCCTGCTTGCTCTTGAACGCCAACAGGCTTCAGTTACCCAGTCCCAGACCTGCCCCAGGTTCTGACCCCAGCAGCTCCTGGGCTCGCACCCTCTGCGGCGCCCCTTGTGTCACTCCCATGGCAAGGCTGGGGCGCTGCCGGAGCCCCAGGGACACACGGACCCCCGACACAACGCCAGCAGCCCAGCAGCGGCCTGTGGAGCCAGCAGAGCTGCGGACCCGCTTTGTGCCCGCGGCGGGCGGGCTCGAGTTCTCCGCCCCGCTCAGCGCCGGGCTCGCTCCAGAGGTTAGCTCGGGACCGGGATAATTCACGCGAGGAACTTAGCGCCTTGGTGACGGCGAGTCCGGACACCGGCGCGGGCTGCGAGCAGCCGGGCTCCCCCGGCGGAGCGGGACCCTGACCCGGGCCAGGCCCCCCGTTCCCGCCACCGCAGCCCCGGGGACCCGGCCCAGCCGCCGCGACCCTCCCGCCTGTCCCCGAGCCCGGGCCGTCCCTAGCCAGCCCCGCTCAGCAGCGCCCGGGCGGCTCGTTCCGGCCCCGGCCGGGCTCACCTCGCGCCGCCGCCATCGCGCCGCCGAGCCCGGGCAGCGTCAGCGCCAGCCCCGCCCGCCGCCAGCCTGCAGCCCGCTCCCCGCACCGCCGGGCCCAGGCCGCGCTGGGGGCTGAACGTTCCCCCGCCAGAGCCCGGCGGCTGAGCCGGGTCCAGAGCCGAACTCACAGACCTGGGGGCGGGGCAGGCCTAGCCCCTCTCCTCCCGGGGGGGGGGGCGGGCCCCAGTATATTTACATCATCCCTGACCCCACCCTAGGGTGCCAACACCCCTGCCCCGCCCCTTCTCGGGGGGGGGGGGGGGTGTGAGCAGGGATTTCCCTAGACCACCCCCAATTACCCAACACCCCCTCCTCAGTTACATGCAGTGTTGCCAATTTAGCCTTTGGTTGGAAATTTGAATTGAAATTGAAACATTAATATACACTTTAAAAGTATATACCAGCGGTGGTTCTCAAATGTTGTACTGGTGACCCCTTTCACATAGCAAGCCTCTGAGTGCGACCCCACCCCCTTATAAGTGAAAAACACTTTTTAATCTATTTAACACCATTATAAATGCTGGTGGCAAAGTGGGGTTTGGTGGAGGCTGCCAGCTTGCAACCCCCCATGTAATAACCCCCCGATCCCCAGTTTGAGAACCCCTGATATACTGTATATGAGAAACAGGGCCGGCTCCAGGCACCAGCTTGCCAAGCAGGTGCTTGGGGCAGCCACTCTGGAGAGGGGCGGTAGGTCCAGCTATTCGGCGGCAATTCGGCGGACGGTCCCTCACTCCTGCTTGGAGCGAAGGACCTCCCACCGAATTGCCGCCACAGATCGCGATCGCGGTCGCTGCTTTTTTTTTTTTTTTTTGCCCCTTTGGGCGGCAACAACCCTGGAGCCGGCCCTGATGAGAAAGTACTTGTACCTGAGAAAGCATAATGGGTTTGAAAAGTATGAACAAAGACTAGCTTCCTCATACAGCTGTTATTTATGACAATGTCGGCACATTTGTTTCTGGTATATTAGCCTACCTAATCATTTCAAATTATTATTTATAAGCAAGGTCTGAATGAGCTCTTCCCTGACAGCTAGTGCTGAGCCAATGGTGGGTGGAAAGGCTTCAGGACCAGACTGTATTTACATGAACACACCTACTCTGCCTAGGTATCCAGCAGACAGAGCTGTGCTGCACAAGTGAACAATTTTGGCTGGTGTTGGGTCACAAATCACTTAAGTATGAAATGTGGGGGTCGTGAAATGTTGTTCTCCTTATTCCCCCAGTGCTTAATTTGTGCTAGGGCTTGCCAGGGCAGAGACCCGGCACCTCTAGGCTCGGCAGTTCAGAGCCCTGGGGCCTCTGGGCTTGTCACATCAGTTATGAAAGTAACAAACTTGCTTGAGCCCCAGCAACTCTTTCATTACAAATGAAGCACTGGACATCCTCGGCTGAACTGCACTCCCTAAGCAGGAGGTTTGGATGCCATATCCTAGTGAAGAGAGAGCGGGTCAGGCACAGGTGTTTTGCTTGGTGGTGTGGGCTCTGCCTAAGAGTCACAGGCACTATTTGACCTGTCCCTCTCTCCTGTTTAGAGAGAGAGCTGATTAGGCTTCATAGAGAGTCTTTTGGTTTGTTAAGTGATCACTAGAGCTGAAATCACTGATAATCAGGTCTAAGTGCTTAGACCTGCTGTGGGACAGTGTTTCTGTGAAAGAGACGGCCCAGCCTGCACTAGCAGCGAGGTTCCCCCACAGAGCTGAAATCACTGACAGCTGGGTGGAACCTCGAGCGACCGACTTGCAGAGGTCACAGTGGCAGGTGACAGAAGAAGGTGACGGTGCAGGGACATTGGGGACAGAGCTGTAGAGTGAACAGTGGCACGACAAACAACAGCGGCCAGAGCATTGGACTATGTTTTAGTGACTGCTCCAGAATGCTAGATTTGTGACTGGGAAACATATATAAATATACGTTTCATAGTAGGCCAAGATTTTTAAAATGCATTATTTGCCAAGGTCATTATCTCACATCATCACTATCTCAAGAGGTCATTATCTTGGAGAGTTTCTGTACTAAACTTTCTTATTATAATTATTTTGTATGTAAGAACAGCCATATTGGGTCAGACCAGTGGTCCATCTCTCCCAGTATCCTGTCTTCCGACAGTGACTATTCCAGGTGCTTCAGAGGGAATGAACAGAACAGGGAATCATCGAGTGATCCATCCCCTGTCGTCCACTCCCAGCTTCTGGCGAACAGAGGCTAGGGACACTCAGAGCATGGTGTTGCATCCCTGCCCATCCTAGCTAATAGTCATTGATGGACCTAACCTCCCATGAACCCTGTTATAATTTTGGCCTTCACAACATCCCTGGCAAAAAGTTCCACAGGTAACTGCGTTGTGTGAAGAAATACTTCCTTTTGTTTGTTTTAAACTTGCAGCCTATTAATTTCATTGGGTGACCCCTGGTTCTTGTGTTAAGTGAACGGGTAAATAACACTTCCTTATTTATTTTCTCCACACCAGTCAAGATTTTATAAGCCTCTATCATATCCCCTCTTAGTCATCTCTTTTCCAAGCTGAAAAGTCCCAGTCTTTTTAATCTCTTCTCATATGGAAGCTGTTCCATACACCTAATCATTTTTGTTGCCCTTCTCGGTACCTTTTCCAATTCCAAGATATCTTTTTGAGATGGGGTGACCAGAACTGCACACAGTATTCAAGATGTGGGCATATCATGGATTTATATAGTAAAAGTGGAGGAGCTTGGTATGCCAGACTGATCAGCCAAGCCAATACTGACAACCTATATGAAAAGGCTGCAAAACACCATGCCTCTGGACTGCATCACCATGCAGAAAGCCTTATAAACCAGTCACTGTCAAAGTCAATTTTAGAAGAACTTCATGGGGCTGTTAAGAATGCTGGAGACACAACTCAGTTTATAGTGTGATAGCTGTGCTAGTCTGTATCAGCAAAAAGAACAGGAGTACTTGTGGCACCTTAGAGACTAACAAATTTATTTGGGCATAAGCTTTCATGATGATATACACAGAGAACATGAAAAAATGGGTGTTGCCATACCAACTATAACGAGACTCATCAATTAAGGTGGGCTATTATCAGCAGTAGAAAAAAAACTTTTGTGTGTGTGTGTGTGTGTGTGTCTCTCTCTCTCTCTCTCACACACACACACACACACACACACACACACGACTTAGTGTCTCTTCTCCCCCACCCCCTTTCCAGCTGCTTGGTTACCATAGCAACCCCATGCTCCATTCAGTCCCCTTATCTTCTCAGGTTATTGAAAGGCAAGGCTTTTACTTTGCGGTGGGGAG